TCGCGGAGGCAGACTTGACAGACAGTGATTCCAACGTTTCTGATCCTCTGCCAGAGTCGGAGCTTCGACAGAAGACAAATGGAGTCTGGAACAGACTCCTTCCATATATTTCTTTGTTCTAAAATTTGTTTATAGCTTCTGTTGCTCAGTTTGATGTTTTTTGCTCTGGATTACTTTTACAAGTCATGTTGTTTATACATAGACAGAGATGTGCACTGAATTTTGACACTAGTGATTTTTTGTCAGGTACAACATTTAAGTGTATCTCTGGTTTTTGTGTGGGTACCAAATGTGTGCAGGTGCAGGTTTATTTTTATTCAGTTGTTTTGTGCAACTTTATTTTAGTACTTCTATTTTTTAAAACAATTTTATTGCTGTTGTTTTATTCTTGTATTATTTACTGTCATTGTCTGTTTGTACGATTGCCCTGTTGTGCAGCTGGATTTGCCTGCAATACGATACACATTTAGAGGCTGCACTTTTTCCATAATGACTTGCTATGCATTGCATTTCGTCGGATTGTTTAGTTGCCTGAGAAACTTTTATGCCGAAATAGCACTTCTGTCCGTGTGAAATTGCTCGAGTATTCATCCTGTGTATGTCGGATCGCCAGGTACACGCTTGTTAGTGGTTAGATTACCAGCAATTTAAATCTCTGAAGCAAGATTCATCTGATCGTGATTGTCATGCTTAACTTAGTTTCGCTTCCATGTTAAACTCTTGTAGCGCATCATCTTTCGTAAATGACTTATGTGCAATTTTGGGACACTTTCATAAATATACTTGATTGAATCTGTTATTCCCAATTTGTGATGCTTAACAGAACGGATATTCAATTGCGCAATATAGCATGATACGTCTGTAAAGTTTGGTGCTAGTAGTCCTGTTAACACCTACATTAAATCTTGCCGCGCCAGTTATCGTCATTTTTGTGAATTGAACCAACGGCAAAATTCCTCTTATATTCTCATTATTATCAATAGTACCTCCTTTAAAGACTATGCGGCTATTGTTAGTATAATGTAGAATGTCAGAATAGGTATTGTTTAATGTTGAGGACGACTGATTAACCCCGTGTATCATTAGAGAGAAATAAGTAGCGCCTTTTTAATTAAAAAATGTCGGTTGTCGAAGAGACGCTTGCTTTACGAATATGGAACAGCATCATAATATCACAACTTTTCCCTATTGCCTCGAATGGCTCCCCTCCCTCGGTAATTAGTCAAGGCCGGGAACAAAAGCGACTGCTGTGATAAGTGATGTGTTTAAATTGTGCATAAAACAGGTAACTGCTATTCTGTCATTTGAAGAGTGCAGGAACTACTCAAGGGAGTATCATTTCATGCAGGTGTCTTTGTAGGTATTGCTCGCGCTCCGTTGCCAGTTCGAACACTTGATAGAAACAACGGATGCCTACTGATTTCAAGCGACAGAAAAGCTGCTAACAGTAGCTGGAAGCCACTGCAGGTACTACCTTATCATCCACAATGTTGACCTTAAAGCTACCTTCAAACAGTTTTCTGTCTGGATATCAGAAGAGCGAGTTGATTCGATGCATTGGCACAATTTTGCAGAAATTTCCTTGAACAGGAGTTAACTGGAAATTGCTCAGCCGAGAAACTGGCAATAAGACAGTGATTACCTAAAAATAGGGACAGTACGATATTCTGGTCGGGTGATGTCAGAATGGACGAAGTGTACGGTCAGGCTGTCCGATTCGAGCGCGCCTTGCGGCTACATTTCGTCTTCACTAACCTGATAGCTCATTGTCCAATGTAGGGATCAGCACTAGGTGTAGCTGTGATTTCGAATTCTATCCAGTATTCCATCGACTATGTACGGAAAAGAAACTCGCGGATAGCCAGAAGAAGGAAATCAGTATTCCAATCCACAGAGGTCATGATCACAGTTACTGTTAAAACTTGTGCAATTTCTGTTTGTCGAGAAAGGCGTTTTCGGCAATGTTCTTTGAGCGATGGTTGAAGGGACTATCTGAGAAAATTGGGTGTCCCGTGATTAAAAACACCGTTAATGGTAGATTCGAGACGAGTGTCAGCACAGAAGTTTCTAAATTGTGCATTATCACCAAAAGCAGATACATGACGCCGTTTTTAGCCTGATCTCTTGCATTTTGGAGAGCTTCCAGAATTTTGCTTATGACGGTCTTATTCAGCGGTTCACTTCAGAATCAGTGGCATCATTTTTAGTTAATCGTTAGAACCTGAAAATCTGAGATGACCTCTGTATAATCCCTCTTACCTGTTGAGCGGCACTTAGACTTATTTCTTGTTGTTTAGAGTAAATTTTCCTTATATTAAGAGTAATAAATCTGGCGCCGTAGGTGCTGATACACTATAGAACAGCGACCCGCTGAAATGACCTACTGGGCAGTTTGAGCAAGGGGCACAATAGGCTATGAAATCTGGTCTTGGAGGAGTCCTTCGTTATATGATACAATCGGCCGTATGAACAACTAATGTGGTAGCATGTAAGGAGCACTACTCCTGAAATATCGTTTATAATGAGGTTCGTAGATACATCTAGCATTGAAGACAATGAGAGATGAATCTGGTACTGTAGGTGCTCAAATATCATGGAACCGTGGTCTGCTTAAGTACCCCCTAAGTAACTATAGCAAGGAGATGGTGCAGTACAGCATGAAATATGATCTAAGAGGGGTCATTCGTATACTATGGCCTACGAACAACCTATCATGGCACTGCTTATTGTATATAAATATTCCATAATAGTCATTCAGACAGTTATATTGGAGTAGAATTGAACGCGAGTACAAGAATAGGGTAAACGCAGTGAATGAAATTTCTTGGCATTGAAAATTTGAATGAAAATTCAAATACGGATGATTCGTGCTTTTTCTGAAGCTTGCGCCGGAAAGGTTCACGTGAATAGAAACGGTAAAAAGTTGCTGCTTCGTGTTGAAATGCTCCGCACATCGTTGAAAGTTCTTTTATTTACGATCCGTAAAATGGTTGAAAAACAAGTTGGCCTCGAAGCCTGAGCGAAGCGCATGCAATTGTCTGAGCCGGAGCGTTTGTTGTGGCGGAACTCTGCCACCCACCGGTGCCACTCAGAACTTTCACCCTGCGACGGGTCATCGAACAATTTCAGCTGCACAAACCATACCAACCGCCCCCACCCCCAGTAGATGATGATTAGGAACCTTGTTCTCGTCACACTGTAGCCAGCATGCACATATTTTATTAGCTATTTGGCAAGAAAAGTGTTCGGTCCATTGGATATCGGTACGATACCCGTACCCATGCACAATCTGAAACATGTTTTCTTTGATGGATCTCATCAATGATGGCACTAATCTCTATTACGTCATCAAACAGAAATGGCACATTTCTATGAGAGCCGCGTCTACATCCTGATGAGGCCTAGAGCGTGCATTCTGCTGCATCCTTACACTTTCTTGATGGGGTCATTCTGATACCTTTCTTTTCATTATGTTAGTGGTGTACTGCTGATCTCCGTGTCCATGTCATCTCTCAGGAGTGCCATATTTTAAGGGCAGAGTCTACATCCATGTAGTTTCTTGTTTTCTCCCACCGCCCGCAGTATTACGCATTTATCGCCTTGAAAGGATCCTGATCGGGATACTAACTCAGGACCTCTCGATTACTGAGGAAGGGAGGCAAGTTCTCACCTCTCAACGATGTCATGTTCAGAATTGTTACAAAACAGTCGGGGTTTAAATATCTTTTAAAAAACTTTCACTTTTCGCAGGATCATAGAACAATGCCGACAATTCCATCTGCATTGGTTCACCAGTTTCGTTGATTTTAATGCTACAACTGATTCAGTGCATCATTCCACAATACAGAGGATCTTAATATTCTATTTCATACCTGAATTCATCGTTCCCATTTTGAAAGCGATGCATGCAGGAATCGTGTCTGCTGTCAAACCCAGAGGACAAATATTTACGTAGTTCCCTATTAACTCTGGAGCTTTTCACGAAGAGCTGTTTTCACTCTTTCCGTTCAACACTGCTCTCGTATTTCTTCTCTGAAACAATGCTGACCCTTGCAAAGACGTAGATTTCATTGCAAAGGTAAGGCTCAGTTCAAGGTATCCTGCAAGTGGTATTGTCTTAAAATAGCACGGGAAGGGTGCTCTTTCTCCTGACGCCCTCCATTTGCCACGTAGTTGCGAAAGCCGACGGATACCGCAACGCCCGGTAGTCCAACGTTGAGGAATCCATCAACGTACTACGTGGAACAGGGAGGAAAAGCTATGGAGGAAGTCCACCAATTTAAGTATCTCTGCTGAATCATCTCCAACGATGGCACTATCCAATCATAATTAGGCAACAGGGTCGTCACGTCATCGTCTGCGTTCTGTAACCTGTCGCGTATTTGGGACGAGATAATGGTAACTCTATCCATAGCAATCCGCCAGAACCTTACCCCTGGTAAGTCGATGTCGTTGCACGGCATGGAGACAGCTGTTTTGACAAAAATTCAAGAATGAGTCATACACTTTGTAAAGCAGCTTTATTTGACTTCGACGCATAATGAGGAATATATAACACAGGTAACCGGAAGAGCCTTGGAATACAGCCTTTGCTTCTCCAGATTGAAAAGTCGCAGCTGCGATGGCTTGGGCACGTGTTACGAATGCCTCCAGAAAGGAAGGCTAAGCAACTGTTCCTTACAA